CACACACACACACACACACACACACACACACACACACACACACACACACACACACACGCACACGGCAGCTGCCAATGAACAATGCTGCAGAGGCCAAGAAGAGGCGCGCAGGCTGAGATTAGCTTCAGTGCTGTCAGACAGAGCCAGTGGGGTTGGCAGGCACAGCGGAAGCTGCAGGCCATCCTTTAGGGAATGTGCTGCACAGGCACCTGGAGGGGCAGGAAAGGAAGGGCATGGAAAGACATTCTGGGGCGGAGTAAGTATTTGCTCTAAATGCTTTCCTTTTGCCATTGTTATTTGGAGATATCAAATTTAAGCAATTACCTTACAGTGTGTTTCACTGACGCTTAATGGGAAAAGTATATGCTAAAAATAAGAGGAAAAAATTCCCTTTAATCTATTTAAAAAAGTGAGCTGCTAGCCAGGCACAACAGTGCACACCTGTAATCTCAGCTACCAAGAAAACTGAGGTAAGAGGCTAACAAGTACACAGCCAGCCCAGAAAACTGGGACAACTTGTCTCAAAATAACATTTTTTAAAAACGGCTGGGTGTAGCTCAGTGGTAGAGTGCTTGTCTAACATGCATAAGCCCTTGGGTTCAAACCAGTCCTTGATGTAGAAAAAAGTGAGAGGCAAAAATTCAGTCTGTATTTTATAAATCAGGTATTGCTTTTAAGCTGCAATGGAAGGTTAAAATATATGCAACACGAAAACAATGTAAAACATTGAAGAGCTTACCCATTCCACTTGGCTTTCCCCCACACTGACTTTCTCCCATTGCTAGAATTTCACGAACTTTCTCTTCTTCTGAAGGCACAAATGTCTAAAAAATCCAAAGCACCATAAAAATAAACTGTGGTTTATTTATTTAATTAATTAAGGAGGGGAGACTAGCCTCAAGTGTATTAGAAAAATAACCCCAGCCTCTTGAAACAATATAAAAATCTAGTTTCAAGCTCCTACAAACCTGGAAAATGAAGAATTACCCTTGAAAAACAAAACAAATTTTAAAAAGAAATAAAAATTCAACCTTGTTTCACCCACCAGTGGTCCTCACAGTACTTTAGAAGCACACAACGCAACGCATGGCCCTTCCTGTGTGCGTCCCGCTCCCTGCCATGCTTCCGTCTCAGCAGTGGTCCCGTCATCGGCTCCAGGCTCAGGGGCCGAACTCCCCACTCTCGAGTCCAGAACACAACCCCCTGTTGCCCGGGCGGCTTTCTTTTCTTTTGCTTCTGGGAGACTCACTCTTTTGGAACCCCACTGAAGTGCCCGGTGCAAGTCTGCCTGCCACCACTCTTTCTGGGTGAGTTGTGCCCCTCTGCACACCCAGTCATCTTGTCATGTACAGTCGGAGGTTGGAAAGGGGGCATGCAGACTGAATTGATATGGCACAGCAGGCCATAATAATAATAATAATAAAAATTTGAAATGTGCTGGGTGGGAAGCCACATTAAATTTTAAGCAGAGCAATGCCAGACCTAATGTCTGTTTTCAAAGACACCCTGCACAGCTGTGAACCACATACTAGGAGGAGGGACAGCAGGAGCCATAAAGTAGTGGTTTGGACCAGTGGGTGGCTGTAGCAATATCCAGATGAGCTCCTGTTCTGCTTTGGGATGGAACCGTGAGAGTCAGCAATGGACCAAATGTAGGTGACGGGGGAAACCGAAGGGGACTCCCACATTTCTGGCTTGAGGAGTGAATTGATGGTGGCCCTATTTACTGACATCATTGAGGTTCTCAGCTTCCCCCACCCTACAGGATATGGCAATAACAATACTAGTCATCAGCAGTACAATGAGAGCAGGAGTAATACTGTGTCTGTCTGCCTGTCCATCATGAAATGGTGGATGTCCACTAGCAGCTCAGCATAACTGAATTATCAACCATACCTCGGTTTTCAAGTTGGCTGTCAGCTCTGATCCTTCCAAAACCTTTGGTGGAAACTCTTCATTGCCTAATGAAATTCAAGCCATTAAAATATTAAGAATAATTTAAGAATCTGATCATAAAATACATCCTAAATCAAAAAGAACCAGAATGTTGTTATCTGGCAGACCATTCTACCTTCTTTTGCTTATTTTATTGTAAATAAAAGACAATAAAAAGGACCATGTTGTATAAAAGGGATCTGGACGGAAGGCAGGGGCACTGACTCATTCTGGGGGAGTGGAGTTGTTTCTTGTTTGTACAGCAAGATGGCTGCACAGAAAAAAATGATAAAATGTTATTTATGGAGACGTCTTATTTCCCAGTAGTTTTCTGCAGTCATTTCCATCAGTTTTGTCCCTAAAACTATATATTGTGAGTTGCTGAGGTACACTCTTAATAAAGGTGATCTGTGAACTGATTCACTTTACTTGCTTCATGCTAACACGGCAAACTTGAACATAAAGTTAAACAACAGAGGCAGACAAAAGGCCAATGGCATTTTCTCAGGTGGAGACTCAGCTTCATCTTGATCTTGCTTCTTTCCTTTTCTCCGGGCCTTTTGCAGCTGTGGTTTCTTCAGTTTCCCTTATCTGCCCCACATATAAGCTGCTGAAGAAAAGCCTTCTTTCCTCTAAGAGCATGCAGGATTTTTCTTACTAAAAGCCCTCCTATTTTTGGTCCCCTAGGGAGGAAATGTGGGGAAAGGAGGATAACAGAGTGTAGTAATGACTGTATCCTAAAAACTTTTGGAGCATTCAATTTACTCTAGGCTAAATTCAATGGAAAATTTTAAAGCTGCACACTCCAATCCTTAGAACATTTAATGCCTCCTTTCTAAGACTAAACCTACCAGCCTCAATTTCCCAAGTCTAGGTTAGATAGTAAGCAAGGTCACTTCAAGTCTCAAAGTCTAGGATACTACAATTTATACAGCCAGAGTAGAAAGGAGTGAACATCCCTTAGTCTCTTCAAGTCTAGCCCATCTACTTCCTTTCAGCTCTCTCAGCACCCTCATTTTCACCCTATCCTAGGCACGTGTCACGTTATAATGGCCCTGACAACGTGGGTACAGTACATGGCTGGATTCACACCTGTCTGCCCATCTTGACAACTATTTCTAAAAGACTGGCATTCTACAGAATCTGAATCTGTCAGGAGGGAATTCCTGTCTCTTTCAAACACACTCTAAACCATAAATGAACTCATTTTACTTGAACGGTAAACTCAGTTTAAAAAAACAAATTAGGGGCTGCAGGTGTAGCTCTGTGGTAGAGTGCTTGCCTAACATGTATGAAGCTCTAGGTTTGATCCCAGCACCAAGACAAACACACAAACAAACCCACAACCGCCCCCCCCACCCCGCACAAAACCAAAACAGTGCTCCTTGATTAGAAGTAGCAAGCAGACTGAACTCACACATACTACAAATTCTACAATAAGTTGAATAAAGTCTGGAATGAGGTCTGCTTTCATAACAGCACCCCCATCCCCGAGTGACTCCATTTTCCACAACAGAGAAAAAGGCTGACTTTTCCTAGAAGTGCCATATGTATGATTTAAATGATCTGACCCTATTTTCTCCTTTTTGAAATGAGATATAAAAAAGTACTCATTCATACAGTCGTGGCATTTATTCCTTTTGACTGACAAGACATAGGAAGACCAGAGACGGGCATACAACTTAGGAGTACAGCACTTGGACAGCTTGCACAGCCCTGGGTTCCTGCCCCAGAAGTATGAAGATCAAACAGTTTAGAAACCTTTCTGCAGATAAGGAGTGGTTGGCTGAATTCTCATGCCTCAGCTGCTTTTCTCTTTTCAGACACATGTGAAACAGATCTAAAGTTTCAAACGCAAGTCTTTGGGGAGAAGCTCAGCTGTTCTGGTTTCTATCTTGTTGCCCCACACCTCATGCCATCACAGGTGGGACCTCTGACAGGTGGCTGGATTACAGGTGTACAGCTGACTTGCTCTTAGGAGGGGGGGGCCTGGTTGGGAGAGGCGGTCACTGTGGGTGCGACCGATCTGAAAGGTCATACTTCCCTTCCCAGCTCCTCCCTTGAACTCTGCTTCCTGAGGTGCCGAGGTGCAGCTCTGCCCAGCCACACCCCTCTGCCATGCTGCCCTGCCTTGGAGTCAGCCAACTATGTACTGAAATGTCCTGGCCTTCCCTAAGTTGGATATTTTGCCCCGGTAGTGGGGATAATAACTGAATCACCAAACTTGATGAGCTGTTTTGGAATATTATGATAAAAGAAAAAAATTATACTGATTTATCATTATGAAATCAAAATCATCTTTGAAAGACAGTTTTAAATAAACTGTTATGCAAGTATCTTTGTAAAAAGCTAAAATATACAATTAGAAACAGATTACCTTCGTCACACAAATTCTGTTCAGCAGAAACAGTCACCTCCAGGTCCCCTTCCCCGAGGAGACATGCTGTCCCCATGCTGTGACCTTGTCCTGTTTTCCTGGCAGATGCTTCATCAGTTCGCTGGCCAATATGGTCACTCTCTGTGGTCAAGTCTTCCTCGAATGTGGGAGCTGATACAGCTACATGGCAGGCAGCTGCAAAGACGACTGTGTGGGTAGCAGCAACTTTTGACTCTTGGCTGGTAATACATTTAGTGGCAGTGGCTTTCAAGTTGTCCTCAGGACCTAGCTGGTCAGGAGGAATAGAGGAATACTCTGCAGCAGTGTCTTTGACAGGTGGGACGTCATCAGCTTTTTTAGCACCGGTACTTACTGCTGCCAAGGAGTGAGTGCTGATGGATAGGTCCTCAGCTGGCTGCCCAGATGTCTGCTCTGGTCTGCTCAGCTGGGCAGGTGAGGGAGCACTCCTCTCTAGGGCCCTTTCTGCTGCACAATGGACCATGCCACTGCCCTCTGCTGTCTCAGCTTCTGCACTTTTGTCCTCAGCTGGCGACACAGTCTTTTCTGCATTTAGGAGACGCAAAGTGCTTTGGTTTTGTCCTTTTGCTGCACACGGGTTTTGGCCAGGGCAATCCTTGCTGTGTCTCTCCTCCTCTTCTGCACACTCAGCTCTTGGGTGGCCTTGGCCAGCAGAGGGCTCACAGACCAGCAGCCGGTCATGCCCTTTCTCAGTGCTCACTGCCAGCACAGGGCCCCCTTTCTTGTCTCCTGTGAACAGCCCAGGGTACTGACAGTTATTGTCCACAATTAGGCTGGGCATGGGGGTCTCACACTTGCTCACTCTTGCCGTTGACAGCTCATCGCTTCCTTTGGGGTTGTTTGCAGCCCGCTGATTCTCTCTGCGCTGGTGCAGGCTGGTGACCATGTGCACACACTCAACTGTACTGGTGGAGATGATTGCAGCATCACTCAAGTCTTCCATTCTTGCAGGGGTGGCCTGGTCTTCATCTAGGTGGACAGCACCAACCATGACTGCTTCACATCCTTCAGAAGTGCTCGTGGAAATCATGGCAGTGTCATTTGTCTCTTCTGCTGGTGTGACCAAAGGGCAGACTACCTCCTGAGGGACAGCACTGGACACAGAGCCCTCACAGTCTTCCCCTGAGCTCGTTGAGATAACAGCACTTCCGTCTGTAACTGTCTGTGTGTTTTCACTTACACCAGAAACAGAGGCCTCACAGTCTTCTGCTATGCTGGTGGAAATGAGAGCACATTCATCCTTCTCTTCCTTGCTGGTTGAGGCAAGACGACTTTCAACTTCTGCGGGAGCACTGGGCATAGGCACCTCGAAGTCCTCAGTGCTTACCAAGACTGTACCTTTAGCTCTTTCTTCAACCACTGCAACTGGCTGCTGACTTTCAGCAAATTTGATGGTTATTGCACTGGAAATAGGCACTTCAAACTCTTCCCCTATGCTTGTGGAAATCATGGCACACTCATCTTTCTCTTCACATCTGCTAGGAAGTTGGCTTGCATCACCTGAAACTGCACTGGGTGTGGGGGCCTCAAATTCTTCCATGTTTACTCTGGTGCCTTCCTTGTTTTCTTCACTTCTCAGGCTACTTGAATGCCCCTCTCCTGCATCTCTAATCATGCTCACCTGAGGGGTGTAATCATTTGTTGTACTGGTGGAAATCATCAAGCCTTTGCCTTGGCTTTTACCCCCAGCTAAGCTATCCTGGTGGGAAATATCATTACTAACTGTAGTGGCCATGAGGCCATCACACTCTTCATTTTCTACAGAGGTGATTATGCCTTCATCTTCTTTTTCACTTGGTGATGTGTGGTCCACTTCACATTCTGGGGCTGCACCAGATATAAGAACATCATAACTGCCCCCCACCAGGCCAGTGGAAACAGTGGTATCTTTAGCCTTTTCTTTCCTAATGAGCTGACTACCACTTTGATCAGAAGCGGCGCTGGTCATGGGATGCTCACAACCTTCCGGAACTGGCACCACTTCACTCTTTCCTGCAATTGCACTGGTCACACTACTTTCTACGATCCCTTTGGCACTGGAGCAGATCTCTGTCTCTTTGATTTCCTTCTCTGCAGCACTGACACTATCAATGTTACTTTCATTTGCATTCAGGAGGGCTGCCCCGGCCTCAGTGATCACGTGTTCTGTTGTTGGACCAACCTGACTGTCCCCTTCTGCACTTTCGCAAATCAACACCCCTTCATTTTCTTCACTTATCATACCTAAGCAAGTGGAAGCATGTCCAATTTCATTTCCTCTCCCAGTACTAGTTACAACACCCTCCCCCTCGTCATCCTCTTCTTTTGCACCTGTGCTGGTCACAATGCCTTCATCATCACAGGGGCTACCAATGACTAAGAGGACATTAGTGACTTCCTTGGCTACTGTGCTGTCCATTGCACTCTCTCCACTTTCTTCTGTTTCAGAACTTATAGGACAGCCTTCGCTGCTGTCTTCCGAGCCTGTGCAACTTGCTGGGTCCTCCGCATCTTCCTCTGTTATGCCTGTGCTAGTGACTGCACTCTCACCTTCCGCACCATCGATCACAGAACCATCACCCTCTTGGTCCGCACTAGTCCCCGGGGGCACATCGTTACCTACCAGGGCCACTTCTGCCCCTGTAGCCACGTGCTCCTCCCTGGGCCCTGCTCCTGTTACTAAGCAGATAACAAAGTTATCACTTCCGCCTTCTGCTCCCGTACATGTCACCGTGCCTTCTGTTTCTTTGTTGGGACCCATTCTTGTTCTGTTTCCCTGGGTCCCATCAACCTCTTCACTGATCATGGATCCAGTTCTTATTTCTGTCCCAGCACTTGTCACTGCTCCATCGCTTTCAACTTCACTAATAAAAGTAACAGTCCCTTCGACTATTTCTGAGTCTCTACTTGAAGAACCATCACATTTTTCTTCAGAGCCTGCACTGGTTACTGCGTCATCTTTCTCTTCCGACACAACACTGTTTACACTGGCTTCGATTTCACCTCTATGAGCAGCTGCAGGCCCTGTGGCTCCGTCTTCTGACTCAGCCACGGTACACTCTCCACTTTCACCTTCCTTGGTGCTTGTGAGGAAAGTTTCACTCTCAGCAAATCCTTCGGTGACAATACCCCTGCCCTCTTCAGCTGCAGCAAAAACGGTGCATTCACTGGCTTCTGCCCTGACCTGGATGGGATCGTTTCTGGTGCATGCACCCACTACGAAGCCTTCATCTGCCTCAATGCTGGTGCATGGCAAAGGCATCCTGCTGTCTCCTGTTTCTGAAGTAGTGGTGGCATCTCCACCCTTTACTGGGTTTGAGGTGATGCCCTGGTCCTTCCCTTCAGTACTAGTGGGAACAGAAGCTTTTTCTGCTCTATCAAACTCAGCTGTTCCATTCCTTTGCTGCAAAATGGATGATGCAGCATCGCTCCCATCACTGGTGTCTACTTCACTGCTTCTGTTCCCTCTTTGAGCACCAGGCGAAATGCTTATTTCAGCTGGGCTGCAATTATGCTCAAGTTCGACAGCTTCAGCATTTTTGTCTGTAGCTCTAAATGTCTGCTTTACAGTGGGCTCTGTACTTAATTCATTTTCTTTCTTGTCTGTGTCCTTCAAGCTCTCTTTGCTAATGTTTTCATTTTTCACAATTATGGCTTCTGACTTGCTAGCAAGAGGTGTATTTACTTCTCCTTCTTTACTGTCCAGCAGAGTGGCCTGGTGACCTTCTGGAATGTGACTTCTACCAGTCATGCTTGCTTCTGCTGAGGCATCTACCGTGGAACCTTCACTATCTTCTTTGCTATCACTTGTCCCAGAGGCCTCTGATTTCCTACCAGTTAAACTTTGGTTAGGGAGATCAGAGTGATCCACAAGGGAGGTGCTGCCTATGCCCCCTTCTGAAACAGTTCTGTCAACTACAGGAACTACATCTGAAGCATGAGGTTCATTCTGAGGCACAACACTTCTGGAACTTAAGACTGGTGAGGGGTTTCTATCTGTGGAATGTTCAAGAGTAACATCTCCTTGAGCAACATGCTCATCAGTGGGTCTGGCTGTGCTTTTCAAGTCCTTTGGGAGCCTATCAGTTTCTGAAGGGCTACTGGGCAACATTTTATGACTTGTTTCGGAGTCTGCATTCATGAAGGAATGATGAAGGAGCTCTTTCTCTCTGGGATTGGGTTTGCATACAGCACTTTGGATATGCACTTTCTTGGCCAAGATGCTTTTAGGGTCAGTATGCTTTTCAGAATTACTAGAAACTCCTGTTCCACGCCCCAATTTACAGGCTGCAGCTGTTTTTGGATCTATGGTAGAAGTTCTTAATTCATCCTTTCGAACGGTGGTAGTAGTTTTTTGTTTTGTGATATTTTCAGAGTCAGTGTCTTGTTGAGAACTACTATTACTGTTGTCTTGGGTTTTAGATACTTCGCATACATTTCCAATAGCTGCTTCAGAATCAATTTCCATTGGCTCTTGTTCAAGGATTGATGTGGAATCACCACTTCGTCTTGGTTTCTGAAGGGTGGAACTATTGGGAGTACCCAAAGTGTTTGTTAATTTTTCTTCTCCTTTGGTTGTTTCTTGTGATAAGCTTCCTCTTCGATTTTCAGACAACCTTCTACTTAATTTCTTTTCTATGACTGAACCATTTCCCCGGGTCTTTTCATGATTAATGTCAGTTTCTTTACTATCTTTCTCATTTGCTTTATTTTCTTCCTTCTTTTTTATGTCTTTACTACTATGCTTTATGCTTCTGCTTTTTTGGCCATCTGATAACTTTCTCTCAAGTCTAGAGGAGCTTGAATCCTTTTCACCTTTATATTTCTCCTTTACCAGTGGTAATTTAGCTCTGTGACTGGAGTCTTTCTGGACACTATGTGAAGAAGTAGCACTCTCTAATGCAGGTTCAACACAAGTTTCTTCTACAGGTTTGTCTTCAACTTTAGACTTGCGCTGTTTTTCTGGGTCATTTTCGTCTATGCTCTTCTCCTTCTCTAGTTTTGGAGTGGCTGCCTGTTTTGTGACACTCTCTTGTAATTCTGTTTCAGGAACTTTTAACTGTTTGCCTTGACCTTTCGATTTAGACTTCACCGTAAGTTTATCTTCCAACAAGCTCTTTGCTCTTCTCCTCTCCTTGTGAACAAGCTCTTCTGGTTTTAAGTTGCTATCTAAATTAGCTGAGTCTGTATCACACTTATCCTCCGAACAACTTTCACTTCTTCTCTGTAATGTGACACTGTGTTGCTTGGAACTTAGAGCATCTTTCTGAATTTTGGAATCACTTGATCGTCTTGATTTGTGCTCCACTTTCATTTTTTCAGTTGACAATTGTCTCTCTTTTTTGTTGCTTTCCTTACGCACATTCTCATCTGTTTTTATAATATATTCAGAAACTGGCTTTCCATCTTTGCCTAAAACTGATAATTTCCTTTCATTCCTATGTTTACTTTTCCGTTCGGCTTTATCATCTGAAGAAGGCTTTGTCTGTTGGCTTTGCTTCTGAGTATTTTCCTCTACTTTTAAACCTTTCTCAGAGGAATATATTTCAGTCTCATCACCTGTTTTGTGCGTGCTGTCACTCTTATATTTATGTTTCGTAGATAATTTCTCTTCTGACAGAGTTTTTTCTTTTTCAGGCTTCTCCTTGGACGACTTTGCCTCCTTCTTAGGGAGGCTTTTTAAATGTGATGTTTCCGAATCATCTTTCTTCAGATGCTTTTCATTTTTCAGTGTACTTTTCTGTTTCTGGGGTTCTTCTATGCTGATTTCTGAGCGTTCTAGTTGCCTTTTCCCATCTCTTGTCTCAGTTTCTTCCTGTGCCACTTCCATTACAACAGGAGTAGATGTTCGTCTTTTATGTTCTCTCTCTACTTTGGATTCACTTTTGTTTTCATCAGCAGAATGTAATGATTCTGAAAGTCTCCGGGCAGGCTTACTTGGTTCACTTTTTGCATGAGCATGCTTTAGTTCCTTTGAAGAAGATGCCTTTTCCTTTTCACAGTGCTAGAAGAAAATAAAGGTTAAAATATGAGAAATGCCCAAATCAATTTTTAGATTCAAATTTAATATCTGGGTGCATTTAAAATGTTAACTGCTGACACATATGTGACCCCTAACTTAATCCTTGGAAGCAACCTGTGGTAGTTTTATTAATCTCTCCACGTCTATCAGGAAGATGGAGCTCAGTGTGACTCCTGAACTTGACACTTATGCAACAAGGAGCTGTTCTAGAAACAAGGTGAGATAATCTTGCTGTGAGCCCAGCATTCTTCCTGTATATTTTAGGCAGCTTTATAGAGCCTAACTTCTCCTCTGGGGTTCACTATGCATTTGAAAAGCATTTAAGTCTACAATGCTACAGCCCCTAACACCCAGGAGTCAGTAATAAGTATAAGCAGAATGAATGACAGTCCAATGTTGTTTTAAAGTTAAAACTATACATGCTGATGAAAATAATTTAGACATTTTACAATGAAATTAAAGGTATCCTATATTTAGAAAACCAGATAACTTAAGAGTACTTATAGAATATTTTACCTATGAAGTTTCAAATACACAATAACGTACAGTAATAATGTCATATATATGGATATATTTATTCATTCAGGGAAAGGTGCTGAGACCATAGAATCTGAACCTTCTTCTCCAGCCCAGTTTGGCACTGAATAGATCATTAATATTAATCAGTAGGCACTGATTAAATTCACTTTATAAAAACTTGCTATAATTATTCTCATTTGAATAATGGGCCAAAGACCTCTATGTCTCGGGGTCAGCTTAACACTGCAACTTCTTAAATTTCAACATGAAGACTAATATGTACTTTTATTAGTATAGAAACCCAAACATAGCAACATCTTAATAAATACTTTAAATTTCTCAAAGAAAAAAGCAACCAGAGTTTGCACTGAACTAATTTTTCCAACAAAGTCTAAATAATTAATGTGAATATAATTTTAAGAGATAATTTCTCACAAAAATTTATCAAAAAGGGCTGGAGATTTAGCTCAGCGGTTCCACCACCTGCCTCGCAAGTGCAAGGACCCGAGTTTGATCCCTGGTACCAAAAAAAAAAAAAAATTTTCAGAAAATAAATATTTATAACTATGCCAGTGAGACATCCGGATGTACTTCTAAATATGCACCTAATTTCTGATTATAGAAACTAAAACTATTTACTGGCTATGAACAAATAATCATTACTAGTCCTTTACCCCAAAATGTTAAAATGTTTTAGCTAGAGAGTTATAACTATGGCTGTGTAAACAAGGATTTAAAATCACTGAAAGCCAAAGCTTATTTCAGGAAAATAATCCAAAAAGGGAAAAAATGTATTCTCTGCACATATTTTCATGTTTTAAAATGATCAAATCTGGCTGAGTGGCAGCACATGCCTATAATCTCAGCACTTGGGAGGTTGGGGAGGAGGACTGCTTTGAGTTTGAGGCCAGCCTGTGCTATTTAGTGAGTTCAAGGCCAGCCTGAGCTACACAAGGAGACTGTCTCAAAAAATAAATAAAATGATCAAATCTTACATACAACCTAAGTGTTTAAATATAAAAAAGGCTTAAATAATGATATACCCATTCTGTGCAATGAAAAACAGAAAATACGAAATGACTAAAATGTGAAAAACATTTTGTCAGATTACATCCACTGTAAAAAATTATATCCACATGTGGACAAAGAATGAAAGAATAAAATGGATACTCTGTTATGATGGAGGCATTTTATTCTTCCTTCTCATGATTATTTCCAGGAACTTTGCTACTGCTAGTGTAAGAAACAAGATGAGGGTGAAAGCAAAGGAAGAAAAGAAGTTATTTATTTAATAAAAGATGTAAACATGAAAAATTTTTTTAAAAGACATAAATCAATTCACCAAAATGAGGAATTCAGGGCATACTGGGATAGGGGTTCAAGAATGCTAAATGGGAAGAATTTTTTTACATTTACATGGAAAAGGTGAAATTACCAAGTTTTACCACAAAGAACTAAAAGGTCTATATCTAACAAAACAAAAGAGTATTTGAAACAGAGTTTTATTAAGACATACCTCACTTGTTTTTAGGATTTCTTTAGAGTCTTCTTCAGACGGCTGTTTCTTTTTGGAATTCTCTTCAATGTTCCTAAGGGTGGGGAAACATTCATTATGAACACTGACTCAAATGTTAGAATTTCTCAGTAAGGTAGGGAAAAACCATTCCTTAACTATAAGCACTAAATCCATAAATGGGAGACTTGTTACACATCAACTGAAATCCTATTCTTAGTCCACACAGGAGAACATAATGCCAAATGTGGCATGAACTGCTCTTGGTGCTAAAGGAAAGTGTAGCAGAAACAAAAATTCTGGATTCAGTGCATGAAGATGAGTACTGTAGAAGCTATGTTTATATTTTGAAAGTCTAACCACCTTTTGAGCAAATGGAGTAGACTTTTTATTCAGATCAATAGAAATGAGAGTTATAAATTTGAAAGCTGACTCTTCTTATTAAACTCTACAAATTAATGATTCAGTTATCTTGAAGCCCATCCTTAACTTACATAATTGCAACTTGAGGGAACAGCAAAACTGTAGCCCATGGCTCACAGATCTCATAGCTACTCTCCTAGTCTCTTTGGCTTTCTAATTCTTTCAGAATTAGCAATGATAATGTACGGTTAAAAATATAATCTTGGATTAGAGGGAGAAGCATGGGATACTAGTAAAAAGGCCTGTGTGAAGGGCTGGAGAATGCATGCAATTACTCTATATTTCTTCTTGTTTTTTCTGGTACCGGGGATCGAACTCAGGTCCTTGCACTTGCAGGGCAGGAGGTGGAACCACCGAGCTAAATCCCCAGCCCAGATACAATTATTCTCAGCAGCTACCAAATGAGCAAACAGGAACAATTCCAGAGTAATTCTAGACAGTCCATAAACACACTGAAACTCTAGTGTTAATCATGTGTTGACACATGTACATTTTTCTGGAGAGGTCTAAAGATTTTGTAAAATCATCAAAAAAGTAATTGACATACTACTTTAAAGGCGGGGAATTAGCTCAGCGGCAGAGCACTTGCCTTGAATGCATGAGGCCCTGGGTTTGATACCCTGCAGATATATTATATACACACACATGCACATTACTTTGCAATGGTACAGATATTAAGACAACGAATTACGGCAGAAAAACAAAACCTAAGCCCCTTCATAAACATGCAGTAACATAAACACCGAAGGCACAACTCTACTTCCATGAAGGCTTTCTTTCTTCAGAAAGCCTCACACATTCAAGAGAGCATTACGATCAGAACAAGGCCAGATAAAATATGTACCTGGAATCTTTCTTCCTTTTTTTGCTTAAGGCTACTTTTTTCTCTAAAACTTTCCGTTCCTTAAGAACTTCTTTAATTCTAGGGGCTTTTGGTTCTAAACTCTTTGTTGATTCTTCTAAGTCCAGATTATTTTTGGCTAGGAAAGAAGCAGTCAAAAAACTGTATTTCAGAATAGAATTTTATAAACAATGTTATATTTTTTCATTCAGACTTTATAATTATTATAAATATGAATAATGGCTTTAATGTCCTTGAGAAACTTATGAAATAAACATAATGGAACTCAATTTTGTTTTAGCCAATATAAACGTTAACATAAGGGATTGGGGGCATAGCTCAGTGGTAGAACATGTGCTTAGCACCTATGAGATCCTGAGTTCAATTCTTAGCACCAAAAACAAAACAAAACAAAACAAAAATCCCCCAAAGTTAACATAGAACAGTTGAATTCCATCAGTATCAGCTGTAAGACTTAATTACTTACGTGCTAACAACCATATTCCAGTGATAGTTCATTCTATTTTCCAATGAAAAATAAACTGGTATCATGACTGGAATAATACCCTATGCTTAATTTACATGTAGGGATATAATACAAAGAAAACTGACTAAACACATCAGGTTAAAAAGTAAGGAAATCATCCACACTTGAGAATAGCTCATTTTATTATATTCTTATGTCATATGTAAGACAAGAGTAACTAGAAAATAATAGCATACATGAGATAGTTTAAAATAATTAAAGTTAACATTTACCATACCTTGACTTTTCCCTTTGGAAGACTTGGTCTTTTCTGCTTTCTGTTTTCGTTTTTCTTCAAGTTTCTCCCTATTAATTTGTCTTCTTAAAAGTCTTTCTTCTTTTTCTTTTGCCTAAAATCACAAAATACCCTAACTGTACCAGGTAAAAGCAAAGACACTCCGAAAGAAAGTATATAGCAAAAAAGTCTTTCTTTGTCCTTCACATGTTCTTTCAAATTAATGGATGCTGCGAAAGTACATACATTCTCTCTTCTCTTCTCTGGATAGATATATACATGCACAGGCATTTATTTATATGTATGTATATGTATTTATATGTATGGGGGTATGTGTGTTTTGATTTGGAAGGAAGCTCCCCCGCCGCCATCCCACACTCCTAGGGCAGAGAAGGAGAGCCGCGAGGGCGCCAGAAGCAACCCCCGCTGTGGAAATGAGAAGACACGTAAACAAGCCTCAAAAACAGACTTCCAGATCACCTACAGCAACC